AGACAGCCTCTTCAACAAATGGTGTTGGGTAAACTGGACAGCAACATGCAAGAGAATGAAACTGGCCCACATTCTTATACCTTACACAAAATCAAAAGGGATTAAATGCCTAAATGTGAGACCCAAAATCATAAAAATCCTAGAAGAGAACACAGTAACCTCTTTGACATGGGCAATAGCAACTTTTTTTCTAGGTATGTCTCCTGAGGCAAGGGAAACAAAAGCAAAAATAAACTATGCTACTGTATTAAAAATACACACAACGAATGACACAACAAAACTAAAAGGCAACCTATGGAACTCTTGAAGATGTTTATATATGACATATCTGATAAAGTGTTGGTGTCTAAAATATATAAAGAACTTCTATAACTCAACACCTAAAAAAAAATCCTGTTAAAAAATGGGCAATAGACATGATTAGACATTTTTCCAAAGAAGACATGCAGATGGCCAAGAAACACATGAAAAGATGTTCATCACTTATCAGAGAAATGCAAATCAGACCTACAATGAGATATCACCTCATACCTGTCAGAATGGCTAAAATCAACAACTCGAGAAACAACAGGTGTTGGTGAGCATGTAAAGAAAAAATAACACTCTTGTAAACTGGTGCAGCAGCTGTGGAAAACAGTATATAGGTTCCTCAGAAAGTTAAAAATAGAACTACCCTATGATTCAGTAACCACTCCCCTGGGTATTTACCCAGAGAATACAAAAACACTAATTGAAAGGGATGCATGCACCCTTATGTTTATAGCAGCATTATTTACAATAGCCAAGATGTGGGAGCAGCCCAAGTGTTCATTGATGGATGAATGGATGGAGATACACACACACACACACACACACACACACACACACACACACACACACATCATGGAATGTTATTCAGCCATAAAAAAGAATGAAATCTTGCCATTTGCAGTGACATGGATGGAGCTAGAGACTATAATGCTAAGTGAAATAAATCAGAGAAAGACAAAGACCATATGATTTCACTCATATGTAGAATTCAAGAAACAAATGAGCAAAGGAGAAAAGAGAGAGAGAGACCAAGTAACAGACTCTTCAGTATAGAGAACAAATTGACAGTTACTCGAGGGGAGGTTGGTGGAGGGTTGGGATTAAATAGGTGGTGGATATTAAGGAGTGTACTTTTGGTGATGAGCACCAGGTGATGTATGGAATTGTTGGATCTCTATATTGTACACCTGAAGTTAATATAACGCTGTATGTTGTTTAACTGGAATTAAAATAAAAACTTTTAAAAATGAACATCATACATGTATTCTCTTGTCATTTTTCTGTGTTAGGAATCTGAAGGTGACCTAGAGCTGGATGCCTCTGGCTCAGAGTTTCTCATTAGGCTGTTATCAAGCTGTTAGCCTGGTATGCAGTCTCATCTGAAGGCTCAACTGAAGAAGAATCCACTTCTAATCTCAGTTACATGGCTATTGTCAGGATTCATTTCTTTGTCATGGCTTATCCACAGGGCCCCTCACGACATTGCAGTTCTATGGGGGCATTACTTCTCCATATGACTGCTTCCCACATTGCAACAGAGCCAATGAATGAGAGAGAAGGGCTAAGACAAATAAAGTCATGATATTTTTGTAACCAAATCTTAGATATGACCTACTTTCACTTTTGCCATGTTTTAGAGTAATGTCACTGGATTTGGCTTATAACCAAAGCTGTGGGAGGAGGGCAGCAAGGGGAAGTGAATTCTATAGGGGCAATGAATACCAGGAGATGATGATCATTATGGGCCACCCAGAAGGTGTCTATCTCAGTTTTATAGATAGATCTTTTGAAATAATTTTCTTTATTTGCTATTCTGTTTACTTCCCATTCACTCCTCAGTCCCTTGAAATTTTTCTTCTTTCTGTAACATTCCATTGCAATAAAAATTCTTTACAGTGAAAAGCTTGAATGATGTTCTAATTGCTAAGTTGAAGTGTTACTTTTTATTCCACATCTTTTTAATTTCTCTAATTGTTCTTTCCTTGAAACACTGTTTTCTTTTAGTTTTTTTCCTACACTCCTTTCCAGTTTTTCCTTTTACTCCTAGTAGTCTCCTTTCCCAGATCTTTTTTTTTTTTTTTGTCTGAGTTCTTAAAAGTTTTTTATACTACAGAAGTTTGTTCCAGACCTTCTTCTAGTCTCATTTTATATATTCGTCTTGGCTATTCTTGTTTATTCCCATGATTTTAAAACCTCATATGTTAATGACTTATATTTTCATCCAGAATCTTAGTTTGAAGGCCAGTATACCAACTACATATTGAACATCTTCATTGAAAAAATGCTGATGAGTCAATATTAGCTAGAGACTAAACTACTGTAAGAAAGAAACTCAAAAATATAATTGTTTAAATAAGCATTAAATTTATTTGTATCTGTTACAACAATCTGATTTGTCTACCCTGGGACAACTGTATTCCATGAGGTTATTCAGGGATCCAGGTTCTTAACATTTTTTAAAAAATCTTTTTTTTAATGCTTATTTATTCAATTTGAGAGAGTGTGAGTGGGTTAGGGGCAGAAGGCAGGAGAATCCCAACCTGTCAGCCCGACGTGGGGCTTGAACTTAGAAACTGTGAGATCATGACCTGAGCCAAAATCAGAGTTGGATGCTTAACTGACTGAGCCACACAGGTGCCCCCAGGTTCTTAACATTTTATTGCTCCACCCTAGGGTATTTTGTTTTTCTTTGTTGTAGAATGTTTCAGCTGCAGGAAAGGGTAAGAATGTATAGGGCAAACAATTTTCTTTCAAGAAGTGAGGCAGAATTGCATACTTCACTTCTATTGTTCTATTAGGAAGAGCACAGTCCCATGATCATACCTATTTGTAGAGGAAGTTAAAGGGTATCAACCCTTACTTAGTGGCACAAATTCAGGAAAATGGGGCAGGAGGAGCAGATTTTTGTATGGCAACTAAAAAAGATTTGGTTTCCTTCGCTTTGGGAGAAGTATACATCTCCCTGCTAGTGAATTCAGGCATGGCTATGTGACTTGTTTTTGGCCAGTGAAATGCAAGGAAACATGATAGGTTACACTTTGAGCAGAATTTTTAAGACCAGTGGATTTTCTCCATGTTCTCTATTCCCTTTGCTATGATAACTTATACTTTTCTAAGTCAGTGCTGCCCATTTTTGGGTGAAGATGATAGGTTACAAAGCCACTGCTAACCAGTCATCAACGTAGGCCAGAAATAAAATTTTGTTGCTGTAACTGAGTGATTGACACACCATTTCTTAAAGGGTCAGATACTAGATATTGTAGACTTTTGTTCCTTATAGTCTCTGTCACAACTACAGACTAATTCCTCAATGAATGGATTTGGCTGTGTTCTAATAAAACTTATTTTACAAAAAACAAGCACTCAGTTTGTGGGCCATAGTTTGCCAACTGCTGTTGTAAATGGTTGAGCTTTAGGTCTTATTTGTTACTACAGCATAACCTTGACTACTCTGACTAATACCTTTAGTTACATAGCACAATACCCCCACCTTCTTTTTTTTTTTTTTTTTTAATTTTTTTTTTTAACGTTTATTTATTTTTGAGACAGAGAGAGACAGAGCATGAACGGGGGAGGGGCAGAGAGAGAGGGAGACCCAGAATCGGAAACAGGCTCCAGGCTCTGAGCCATCAGCCCAGAGCCCGACGCGGGGCTCGAACTCACGGACCGTGAGATCGTGACCTGAGCCGAAGTCGGACGCTTAACCGACTGAGCCACCCAGGCGCCCCAATACCCCCACCTTCTTACCCAAGTCAGAAATCTTAAGTATGATCCTAGACTCATTTCCCAAACTAAATCCTAACTTCTTTCTCTCAGAGCTCTTGACTTAACAGATGAAGGTTACCTCCACCCCCCAAGGTTTAAATAGACCTTATTATAAGGAGCTCCCTGTTGAGCAGGGCCTTATAAACCAATGTATTTGGTCCCAAGATGTCACCATGGGGAAATCTAGGAGTAATGATTGCAGAAGAGGTAGCTGTATGTAATATGATCCTGGGAAGGCTGACCAGGAATGTAGCAGACATGATCAGGATAGACTGGGGGTGGTCAGGTTGCAGGGTGAGCAATAGGACAGCCCCCTTCACTCCTGGTTCGAGTAGCTCAATGTGATAGGACCCCAGCCTGATGGCAGGAGGAAACACAGGAAGCAGGAGGTGAGTCCAATAATGACATCCATGGTCCTGAGCTGCTTCTGTAGCAGCTTGGAATGGATCAGGGTACACAGAACCGAAACTCCGCCAGGGTTAGGCCTGTTAGGCCCCTCAGCAGCAGAGGCATCAGCACAGACATGACCACATGGAGTGACTGCAGAGAGGGGCCAATAGTAGCCCAAGGTTGGGAGGTCAAAATGGCAAAAGATGAAGATACTAAGACCCAAAGAGAAATATTTATTCTTAGCCATACATTCAAGTTAGTAATAGAGAACCAGAGCTTGGTTAGAGAAGCTGTTAAATTTGTAATACGGTTGACCCTTGAAAGCACATGTTTGTATACCTGTCCACTTACATGCAGAATTTTTCAGTAAATATAGTACAATACTGTGAGTGTATTTTCTGTTCTTTATGCTTTTCTTAACATTTTCTTTTTTTAAGAGTATGGTAGGGGTGCCTGAGTGACTCAGTCAGCTGGGTATCTGACTCTTGATTTTGGCTCGGGTCATGATATTGCAGTCTTGAGTTTGAGCACCAAGTCAGGCTTTGCACTGGCAGCACGGAGCCTGCTTGGGATTCTCTCTCTCTCTGTGCTCCTGCCCTGCTTGCTATTTCTCTGAAAATGAATTAACTTAAAAAACAAAAGAATATGGTATATAACACCATATAAATATATGTAATAACATTGTAATATATAATATATGTAATAATATATATTATTTGTAATAGTATATATTATGTGCAATATACATATGTAATATAAATAAAAAGTTTTTAATATATTATACATAATATATAATAGATTATATATACATATAATATAATTTAAATTACATAATTATATGATTTATGTGTAATATAAACATGTGTGATATCAATATGTTAATCGATTTTACATGTTATAGGTAAAGCTTCTGGTCAGTAGTCGGCTATTTAAGATTTGGAGGAGTCAAAAGTTATATGCAGAGTTTTAACTGTGTACAGGATTGGCACCTCTAATGCCTGCACTGTTCAAGGGTTAACTTTGGTTTTTTGTAACCTAGTATTTATTGTTCCTTGGCTTGTAAATGGTGCCACTGTCATTTCATTCGTTAAAACATACCTGATAATTTTTCTGGACTTTTTTTTTTTTTTTTTGTCCTTCACATTTATTAAATTACCAAATCCTGATTGACTTATGCTTTTTAATCTCTCTCAGTTCAGTCCACGCAACCCTTACGGTCTCTACCCTAGTTGAGGCCATTGTCTCTCACTTGGATTTCTGTAGGACTATCCAGACTGGTTTCCCTGTGTCTAGTCCAGTTATCCCAATTGCAATGATAAAGTGAAAATCAGAGTTATCTTTCTCCTTTGGTTTAATTCTTAATGTAGGAGTCCTTGTTGTCTTCTGAATAGAAAATAAATTTCTTAATGGCAACAGAGTTGTTCATCTGATGACCCCTGCTTTCTCCTTTGGGTTCTTTTCTTACTATTCTCTTTTAACCTCATCAGTATGTATTCTAGTCTACCATACGGAACTTTTTTTCTTTTAAGTTTGTTTATTTATTTTTTTGAGAGTGCACACTAGTGGGACAGGCAGAGAGGGAAGGAGAGAGAATTCCTAAGTCAGACGCTTAACTGAGTCACCCAGGCTCCCTGGAACTGTTTTTCGTTATATAATGGTCATGCTATTTCTGCCTCTTTGGTCCTTTGTATATGACTGTTTAAAGTAGGCCTTGCCCTTGAGTGTTCTGCTGTCTTAATATATATCCATGCTTTATTTCTTTCCTAGTAGTTATCGCTCTGTAAAATCATCAGTTTTACTTTTTAAGTCTCTCTTCTCCAGAGGATTCAAAGCTCTATGAGGGCAAGGATTTTTATCATTATTTATTACATTTTAAATATATGAGCTGTTGCTCAGTATTTATTGAATCAGTAAATGGATGAATGAATGAATATTTACTTTACAGAAAGTCCTGTATGTGTATGTCTGTCTCCCGGTCTCACTTAGTGTGCCTGATAGTCAATGTTTCCTTAGTTTTGTAGTTATCCTCCATAAATCATTTCTTCGTGGGCCATATAGTAGCTGGCTAGAGTATGTGAAATAGCATATACTGTTTATATTGCAATAGTCCAATTAGCTTCTTGTATGTGCCCTTTTTGCTGCCATTCCACTCATACATGTGCTAAGATGCACAGTGTAAAGTTAGAGAGGTATGCATATTTTTCCATGTTATGCCATTGAATACTAATGGTAGCTGTTCAAACATGTTAAAAATTGCACACTTTTTATCAGATACCAATTTTCAGTGCCTATTATTTTAGATTCTCCTAAGAGTAATTTCATAGATAGTTTCAGCTTTATTTGATCCCAGCAGAGTTTTAAAATATTTGTTCTAAGGAGTCTTATTGATCCTAATTTAGGTGGCCCCAAGGTCTAGGTTAGAAAAGTATCACCTTAGTGATACTACACTGCTTATAATTATGTTTCACGTGCCTCCTTGGACTAAGTTGTAATCACTTGAGAATCAGACACAGCTCTGGGATTTCCTCAATTTGGAGGACCTTGTGGTATTTCTAAGGAATGAGGTTGAGAAAAAGGTTTCCCACAGCCTCTTTTTATTTTTAGTATTAAAAATGTAAAGTACATAGGTAAAAACCAAGAATATTGTAACGTCCATATTCCTACCATTCAGAATTAATGCTTTTCTGGTTCATTAGATCCTTTCATATATTGGCTAATAACTTCAGTTGGGTAGAACTTTTCATGAAATTTAAAATCTGTCCCCATTTTATCATTATGTTTTGGTAAATATTCCAAATGTTAATTATAAAAGTGAACATGTAGATTGTCTCTTAATTTGTAAAGCACTTTTGTACATGTTGCCTAAAAGCCAATTAGTTTTACTTTGCAACCCTAAGCAATTAGCTTTGTAGAACGTAGGACAAACATCTGTGCCTTACTGATCATCCATTACACTAATCTATTTTAACCATTGATATATATTTGTTAACTTGGATTTATATCATAGTTGCAATGATTTGACATTTAAAATTTGGTTTCAGTGTATAAATAAGTCATGCTTTATGATTATGGAATAAATATGCAGATGCTTTTAACCTTAATTTACTTTGAGAGTTATGTGTTCAATGCACATAAAACATTAATTAGATTGTGATTATTTGCAGTATAAGAAATTTCTTTAGCACAGCAGTTTTCAAATTGTTTTACATGAAGCCCTAAAGTTTCCCCAGAAATGTTTCTGAACCCATGTACTAGTCCGCTGGGACTACCATAACAAAATACCACAGCCTATATGGCCTAAACAATGGAAATGTATTTTCTCACAGTTCTTTAGCTAGAATTCCAAAATCAAGGTGTTGGCAAATTTGATGAGCATTTTTTTTCTACTCTATGCAAGTCCTTGTCATCACCATGCCCTCACTGCCCTTTCCTCTGTGTGTTTCCTGCGGGGAGGGGGCTTGGGGCCTCTGGTCTCAAAGACACCAATCTTACAGAGCCCACTCTTATAACCTCATTTTATCTTAATTATCTCCTTAAAGGCCTTATCTCCAGGTGCAGACAGACACATTTGGGGTTAGGGCTTCAACATAGGAATTTTGAGTGGACATAGTTCATTTTATAACATCCTGTGAAGTATTTTCTTGGAAGTGATTATGCTAATAAAAATGGAAGGGGAGTTGAAAACTGCTGTTGTCATAAATTATGTCATTCCTTCAACATAAGAATTTATTAAAATTGCATTCACATGTAACTTTCCAGGAGTACATTTATTTAGTGAAATGAGGAATCATCCTTACAAACTGTCTTTCCTTGGGTTCTAGATCTCTCTTAATTTGTTGGTAATGTTGATTCATAGACTCTTAAGTGATGCAAGCACATTAGATATTACCATTTGCATGAAGTTTGCTGGGGTCATTAAAGCTTTGATTATATTATAATATGTTTTTGTAAATTATTGTGGACTCTAATTATGGCAACTTCATGACTGAGGCTGAAAAGTGTTGGATTTAGAATCAAGAGTTTTAGCTTTCCTGTTAATTAAGTTTTTGATCCTGGGTAAATTAATTTTATATTTTTGTGACTAATTTCCAATTAGAACATAAAAGAATATTGAGAAAAAAGAAAGCCCCAAATCCCAATTTGGGGAATCATCAGATACTAATGATAGTTGTGAAAGCACTTTGAAAAGCACAATTTATGGAAATGCCAATTATCAGTTTCATGGGTAATTTTCAAATAAAATATTTATTTTATTTTGAATGTATGGTTAGATTCCCTTAGTAGGAAAAACAACTCTATTTACTCATGTTATTGTCTAGTTTTTGGTATCTTCAAAATAAATAATGTTAGAAGGAAAAACTCTGCTATAATTTTCCCCTTACTATTCCAATTCAGGGGATAACTTAGATTTTAACATAATGTGAAATTCCACTCCATCATGATTGTTGTGGTGATAATAACATCTACCTCCATATTGTTCTTTGAAATCTATTAAAACTTAGGGAAGGTTCGGGGCGCCTGGGTGGCGCAGTCGGTTAAGCGTCTGACTTCAGCCAGGTCACGATCTTGCGGTCCGTGAGTTCGAGCCCCGCATCGGGCTCTGGGCTGATGGCTCAGAGCCTGGAGCCTGTTTCTGATTCTGTGTCTCCCTCTCTCTGCCCCTCCCCCGTTCATGCTCTCTCTCTGTCCCAAAAATAAATAAAAACGTTGAAAAAAAAAATTAAAAAAAAAAAAAAACTTAGGGAAGGTCCATTTGAAAACTTTTGACTAACGTTTTGTTTGAAAATAGGAACACCTACTAAAAACATAATTTTACTTTATTATAATCAAGTTTTTCCATAATTGCCCACTTATGCTGTGTTCACTTTTTTACTTCCTACTGAATCTTCCCCAGTAGGTTTCTGTCCCCACTATTCCACTAAAAAAAAAAAACTAGCCTTGTCAAAAGAAGCCTTGCCATGTTGTAAAATCCAGTAGACATTCTTCAGTTCTTGTTTACTAAACCTTTATCATTCTTTCACAGAGTTGAATCTTTTTAAATCTCTCTCAGCTTTGCTTGTTTTTTTTTTTTTTTTTCTACCTCCCCTGGGCTTTCTTACTCTCTTTTGCTCACTCTTCTCTCTGATCCCTTAAACACTGCATGACTGACTAACAGATGGAGCAGAATAATCTAATAGAAAAGCTGGAAGATGCCTTAAAATAATTCATTTAAACACAATATAATCATAAATGTTGTTAGCTAAGAACCCACAGCTGCTAACACTAGCCTATTTCATCTATCTGTTCAGTAAAGATTTTGTGATGCCTGCTCCATAAGGGACTCAGTAGGGCACTGCACGGGATGTTTGAGACATGATGTTCCTGAGTCTGGAGTTCAGTAAAGGAAGAAAAGCAAAGTAGGTGCATAGATAAATATAATGTCAGGCAGAATGTAAATGCTTTAAGTGCAGAGTGATATCAGGAATAAAGTAGTTTGGGGCTATGCAAATATATGTAAACTTTTCTCATTTTTTCAGTGTTTGGTAAAGACAATGACTGGTAGAAAAGCATTGATCTCTTTCCTTCTAACCAATAATGCTTAGAAAAATAATGTCAAAGATACACATAGACCAAAATCATAAGGTAGGAAGTGTTCAGCATGAAAGCATGGAGAATTGGTCACTCAGTAATTTTTATAGAAGGCTGTTAGAACAGCTGATACAATTTGTGTAGTAGGCAAAAGTTTGACCCTTGTGCCTTCACTCTTTGGTGTTACATTGATGAATATGTTACATGGCAAAAGGGACTTTATGTTGTAATTAAATTTATTAATCAGTTGACCTTAAGTTAGGGTGATTATCCTGTATTATCCAAATGGGCCCAGTGTAAGTTACATGAGCCTTTAAAAGCAGAAGAGGCAGGCAGAATGCAGAAATATTCAAAGCATGAGGACTCAGCACATTTATCTTCCTTGAAGGAGGTGGAGAGTTACATGGCAGCATGAGAAGGAAATGAATTCTGCTAGTAATCTGAGTGAGTTTGGAAGTAGGTTTTTGCTCAGAGCTACCAAAAAGGAGCTTATATCAGCTTTATGAGACCGTAAACAGAGGACCCAGCCAATTGGGCTGTACAGGACTGACCCACAGAAACTAGGAGATAGTAAATGGGTGTTTTTTTTTTTTTAAGATGTTAAATTTATGGTGTTTAATTATACAGTAATAGAAAACTAGTACAGATTTATTACATTGAGGTATTTATAATATGATGAGAAAACCATGATTAGACGGTTCCAGAATTTCCTTGCAAAAGTATTGTGCCTCTCTCATTTTTATTTTTTAAAAAAGTGCTCTTTTCCTGTAAAAACCATAAGTAGAATCATTAAATTCTCATATTAGTGCATTTAATTATTTACTCTAAACCTAACATGATGCGAAACATTAAACAAATCTACTTACTGATAATAAATCAGGTTAGCTGGAAAGAGAGTTTTGGTGTTAGAAAATCTGGGCTCCATTCTTGTTACTGTTGATCTCAGGAAACTTTATGTCACTTACCTGAACCCAAGTTGATTCATCTGTAAGACTGAGGAAATGCAGTCTTAGAGAACTGAGAAACTACTATTTATCTTGCAGAATTGTGAGAACTTAGTGAAATAATTTATGAAATGCACTCCTCATAGTGTCTGACATACTGGCTTCAAGAGTAAAAATATTACTGAAGATAATATATCTAAGATACTGTTGAAGCTTACATTTGTTACCTAATTTTTAAGGCTTATAAAAGATACTGTTATGGTGATTTAGTTTATACAAGCTCCCATGCCACAAAAACTATAAAAGTATTTCCTGGGATAGTAGATTATTAAATTCTGAAGGTAAAAAGAGATAACTTTATGTGAAAAAGGAAGAGAAATCAAGATATGCTCACCATGGAGGCATCTTTTCCCTAAGTATTGTAGGGAATCAAAGCTGTATTCTATTGGTGGGCTGCTAAAGCTTAAAACTTAAAAGCCACTTTAGTCTTACATTGTTATTCTCCTAAATAGTGTCCTTTATAATTAAGGGAAAGAGGAAGCACCTTGACTTATATGTGAATTCTCACCCAGACCTTACAGAGTAGATTCGTATATTGATATCCTCATTTTGCAGGAGACGAAATTATATTTGCCTCTCTAAAAATCTCTGTCCCTCCTCGGAATTCATGAGAGCTAGACCCTACATGCCTTATATACTGTTATGGACATCAGAAGTCCTCAGATTATGTCTTGCTGCCTATTTTTGTCAGGCTCATGAACCAATAATGTGTCTTTACAAAGAATAACATTTATTTTATTTTTTTAATTTAATTTATTTTTTTAATTTACATCCAAGTTAGTTAGCATATAGTGCAACAATGATTTCAGGAGTAGATTCCTTAATGCCCCTTACCTATTTAGCCGATACACCCCCCTCCCAGACCCCCTCCAGTAACCATCTGTTTGTTCTCCATATTTATGAGTCTCTTATGCTTTGTTCCCCTCCCTGTTTTTATATTATTTTTGCTTCCCTTCCCTTATGTTCATCTGTTTTGTCTCTTAAAGTCCTCATATGAGTGAAGTCATAGGGTATTTGTCTTTCTCTGACTGACTAATTTCACTTAGCATAATACCCTCCAGTTCCATCCACATAGTTGCAAATGGCAACATTTCATTCTTTTTGATTGCCAAGTAATACTCCATTGTGTGTGTGTGTGTGTGTGTGTGTGTGTGTGTATGTGTGTGTGTGTATATATATATATATATATATATATAACATATATATATATGTTTTATATATATATATATATAAAACACATCTTCTTTATCCATTCATCTTTCAGTGGACATTTGGGCTCTGTCCATACTTTGGCTATTGTTGATAGTGCTGCTATAAACATGGGGGTGCATGTGTCCCTTTGAAACAGCATACCTGTATCCCTTGGATAAATACCTAGTAGTGCAATTGCTGGGTCATAGGGTAGTTCTATTTTTAATTTTTTGAGGAACCTCCATACTGTTTTCCAGAGTGGTTGCACCAGTTTGCATTCCCACCAGCTGTGCAAAAGAGAACCTCTCTCTCCACATCCTCGCCAACATCTGTTGTTGCCTGAGTTGTTAATGTTAGCCATCCTGATAAGTGTGAGGTGGTATCTCATTGTGGTTTGGATTTGTATTTCCCTGATGATGAGTGATGTTGAGCATTTTTTCATGTGTCGGTTGGCCATCTGGATGTCTTTGGAGAAGTGTCTGTTCATGTCTTTTGCCTGTTTCTTCACTGGAAGACATTTCTTACCTCTGGAGACGTGTTAGGTAAGAAGTTGCTGCGGCCGAGGTCAAAAAGGTTTTTGCCTGCTTTCTCCTCTAGGATTTTGATAGCTTCCTGTCTTACACTTAGGTCTTTCATCCATTTTGAGTTTATTTTTCTGTATGGTGTAAGAAAGTGATCCAGGTTCATTTTGCTGTATGTCGTTGTCCAGTTTTCCCAGCACCACTTGCTGAAGAGACTGTCTTTATTCCATTGGATATTCTTTCTGGCTTTGTCAAAGATTAGTTGGCCATACGTTTGTGGGTCCATTTCTGGGTTCTCTATTCTGTTCCATTGATCTGAATGTGTTTTTGTGCTAATACCATAGTGTCTTGATAATTACAGCTTTGTAATATAGCTTGAAGTCCAGGATTGTGATGCCTCCTGCTTTGGTTTTCCTTTTCAAGATTGCTTTGGCTATTTGGGGTCTTTTCTGGTTCTATACAAATTTTAGGATTGTTTGTTCTAGCTCTGTGAAGAATGCTGGTGTTATTTTGATAGGGATTGCATTGAATGTGTAGATTGCTTTGGGTAGTATTGACATTTTAACAATATTTGTTCTTCCTACAAAGGAAGAGGAAAATATTTTTTGTGTGTCTTCTTCAATTTCTTTCATAATTTTTCTATAGTTTTCAGTGTATAGATTTTCACCTCTTTGGTTAGATTTATTCCTAGGTATTTTATGGTTTTTGTTGCAGTTGTAAATGGGATCGATTCCTTGATTTCTTTCTTTTTTTTTTTTTAATGTTTTTTTTTTTTTTTTCATTTATTTTTGACAGAGAGCGAGAGACAGAGCATGAGTGGGGAAGGGGCAGAGAAAGAGGGAGACACAGAATCCGAAGCAGGCTCCAGGGTCTGAGCTGTCAGCACAGAGCCCGACACGGGGCTCGAACTCACAGACTGCAATATCATGACCTGAGCCGAAGTCAGACGCTCAACCAACTGAGCCACCCAGGCACCCCTTGATTTCTCTTTCTGTTGCTTCATTATCGGTGTATAGGAATGCAACTGATAAGAAGAACATTTATAATCAGTTTTTTGAAAGGGAGTACTTTGGATTCCAATTAAGCACACCTTTATCTACCTCCCCCCAAATAATTCCATTTTTCTCAATATACCTGTATTTCAAAAAAATTGAACTAAATTATTATTATATTATGTATAGCATATAGCATGAGATATGACATAGTGTGTCATATTTAATAGAACATATTGCTATTATATTTATAATCTTAGGGGCACCTGGGTGGCTCAGTTGGTTGAGTGTTCGACTTCGGCTCTGGTCATGATCACACGGTTTGTTGAGTTCAAGCCCTGCGCCAGGCTCTGTGCTGACAGCTCAGAGCCTGGAGCCTGCTTTGGATTCGGTTTCTCCCTCTCTCTCTCTCTGCCCGCCTCCCCCACCCCCCTGGCTTGTGCTCTGTCTCTCAAAAGTAAATACATGTTAAAAAAATTTTTTTTAATTTAAATTTTATCAGTAAAAATCGTAGGAAATGTTTTCTCTGTTGATACATAAGTACCTTTGTAATATCCTTGATTTATTCTCTTGGCCCAGAAAACCTAAATACTTGTTATCTGGCTGTTTTCAGAAAACGTTTGCTGACCCTTGATACACATCATACCTAGCACAGTGCTTGGCACATAGGGGTTTAATAATTATTTGTTGAATGAACACAAAGCCAAGTTACCAACGCAAGGTCTCTCTGAGTTTATATCCTGAAAAACAATGAAATTCTGTTTGTGGCAATGAGAAAGAAATCCTTCAGTTATTTTAAAGAGAAACATTATAATTACTTTTTTATCTTCAGTCACTAGGAATGGACATTTTATATGATACCAGACATAGTATGGACACTGGGTATAATCAATAATAGTTTTATTATATGTATTTATATAAAGTTATTAGTTATATTGTAGCTTTTCTACAGCTTTTCTTCTTAGATTTGAAAATAGAATTTAAACATCTAAGTACAAATTCTCCTGTGGCCAAAAGCAGTGTTAGGGATTTTTTCTTTAGCCATTCTTCTGTCTGCATCATTACGAGGGCTGTTGATAGTCCAGGGGAGGAGCTGGCAAACTACAGCTCCCTGCATGGTTCTGTGAATAAAGTTGTACTGCAACATGGCCGCATCTGTTCGTTTACATATATCTGTGACTGCTGTCATGCTACAGTGCTAGATTGAGTAATTCATTTAATAGAGAATGTATGGTCTGCAAAGCCTAAAATATTTACCATTGGCCCTTCGCAGAACAAGTGTCATATCTAGTCTGGAAGGCACATTAACCATTTATTTCTCTTAGATCTATCCTTTATGAAATTAGAATACCAGAAAGTTACATGGTATTTAGCAGCTGGGTAGGTAAAAAGGACCTGAATGAGCAAGAAATACATCTGTACCTACTGCAGAACTACTTTTGTCTGTTTTTTATTATTTCTTTTATCAGTTGTCTGCTGGTTCATAAGCACATAAAGAACTCTGTCCATCTTTTTGACTGCCATTTACCTAGCTCCAAGCACACTGAATGACTGAATGAATATATTGGAGTGATGTCTCATCAGTAAGTTTCCTTCACAGTTTATCACTAGAAAAAATTTTATATATACTCATTCCCATAGCTCTAGCTCTAGCTTAAGCTTTATACCAGATTATGGACATCTCCGTTTATATCCAGCTGACTGCCTGTTGAACTGGTGTCAGACAAATCAAACCCAACATGTCTGAAGTCAGATTCATTCTCTTCCATCCTCATACCTCTTGTATATACTGAATCCATGATGTGTTCATGTTACCACCAACATTCTGAGCCCAAGCCATGGTTCTGGCCTTGTCCCAAAACCTTCCTTCCCCACACCCAAACAGTAGCCAAGTTCTTTTGTTTTTTTCTCCTTTTTATTTCTCAGATTTGTTTTCTATTCATCCTTATTCCCATGGCCTAATTCAGGACGTTATCATTTCTTGCCTGAAACTTCACCTTCTAATTGGCCTCCCAGCTTTTAGTCCTGTACCTTTCTAAATTTTTTTTTCAACTTTTTTTATTTATTTTTGGGACAGAGAGAGACAGAGCATGAACGGGGGAGGGGCAGAGAGAGACGGAGACACAGAATCAGAAACAGGCTCCAGGCTCCGAGCCATCAGCCCAGAGACTGACGCGGGGCTCGAACTCACGGAGTGCGA